CCCCAAAACCCCAAAACCCCAAAACCCCAAAACCCCAAAACCCCATTTCACGATAAATTATAATTTACATAGACAAAGATTTATGAAATCTTCCTAAAATTTGTGAACTCGGAAACCTAAAGGATTCCTGAAAGTTTACAAAATATTTTCAATCAGTTCTTAGATAAGATTGCTTCTCTTCAAACTCGAGATCTCGACTTCTTTCTGAGCTGCAGCCATCTTAGAGTTCATGTATCTGATTTGGTTCAACGAGTTTTCAAAGATGAGAGGGTTTCCCTCTCTTCCTTTAAAGATATGTTTTAGCAGGATATCATCATTCTTAAGGTACTCCCCAGTGCTATCAGTATCTTCTATTTGTCCATCCTTGCTCAAGTGTTGAGGGATACTGTTTATCTCAGATTCTAGAATTATACACAAATCATTACTTTTCTCAGAGCTAAATACTTTAGCCCTCATTTTGGTTGCAGGCGGTTTAGTTATTTTCTTCGTCAAAAATATTGGGTTCGAAGAATGCCTTCTTCTCCTAGGCGAGATTGCATTTTTCATAGTAAAATGCTTAGAGTTTGGCTTAAGAGAGTATTTTTCCTTAAGCTTTTTCTTTAGTGAATTCTTCTCTTTCAAAATTTCATTAAGCCTGAAACTGACAAGACTATTTTTGCCTTGATTGTCCATTGCATAATTATGCAAATAGTAATTATTCGCCTTGATTAATCGCTAAATGAATTAAAATTCGAGCTATACCCTTTCAGGCTTGATCTGAACGTCTGAAATGGCTTGAGAAATAGACTTCCTCTTATTTACTTTGAAGGGTTGAGTTTTATTAAATTTATAAGAAATTCTGTCTGACTTCATAAAGATTTGCTTGGTTGGCTTGTACTTTCTGCCAGGAATATGATACTCCTTTTTCCTCTCAGTTTTCTTCTTCTCAGGTGCAGACAGAATATTATTTTCTCTCTGAAAATGTTTACCCATAATCTGAGCTTTATCTCTTGGCTATTTATATTATGTTAGAAAGGATTCTAGATCTTACGTTTAACTGGGAGGTGCTTCTTCCTTCAATTCTCCTACTCACAATCTGAATTCTGCCAGCCTTTGTCGTTTGAGAAAAGTTGTCATTTGATCTGCTGTCAGGAGTAATGTTTCGAGAATAATTCCTCTTAGAAACTCTAAGAATTTGAGTTATTGTAGTAGGGTCATCTCCCTTTATATGATTCTCTGTCAAGCATGTCTTTTCTTCCTCCAAGTGGGCATCTTCTTTTATGTTTATAATTGCTTTATTTTAAATAGTTCTCCTCGGTCTTATTTACAGTTACGAGATTAATATTTTTCTCTGCAAGATTCTCGACACAATTGGGATGTAATTGTGAGTTACGTGCTTGTTTCAACAGATTCATACCCTGTTTTATCCTCCTATAGTACTCCTGTTCAGCATCTAATCTCTCAGTTTGAGGACGTGCTTTGCTAATTCATTTATTTGGGTTTTTATTTCTATCAAAAAGTTAATCATTTCAGGATTCAAAATTGATTACCAGATTCATAGTTTATTTAAAGCTAATTGCTTAAATTAGAAATTGCAGTAGTGAATAAACCTCTTTAATGCATACCTTTAGCAGCTGAGTTCTGAGTATGTTCGAGGGTCGATTTTGTAGAAAGAGTCTTCTCCCTTTCCCTGGATACTTCATGACAGTCATACTTTTTGACCCTGGAGTATTAATCATCTTCAAATTTGGAGTGATACTTAAAGACTCTAAATTGTCATTAACTTTTAGTTCTTATATATGTTTTGATAAACTTCAGCAAAAGGACATATGAAATAGAGTCAAAATTTGACTTACCTTGCCTAAGACTAGACGGACAAGTATTCTTATGTGGAATCTGTCGTCAACTACATATCTTACTCATTTTGTATATGCTCTACTTATATTTTATTATTGAAATCAATTCCAAATTAAAATAGAGGGGTTTTGGGGTTTTGGGGTTTTGGGGTTTTGGGG